ATCCAAGTACTAAGATGGGGATAAATAAAAGTTTGGAAAAGGAAGTCTATGAGCCTATAAGCCTAGGTACTAGGTAGGTAGATAGATACCTATATTGTGTGAACTTTGTATGGAATTTGTATATATAGGTACCTAGATAGGTATATATATAAAATATAAGATATCAAATCAATCAATAACAAACCAAGCAGCTAACCATCAATTATTAATAACCACAGAGTTATCTAACTATCTACCTACCTACCTACCTACTCCATACTCTTCCACAGATACCCACCTAAGTAGCTCTGATAAGAATAAGGCATCTACCTACCTACCTACCTACCTACCTAACTATCCATCCATACCTTGAGGCTGTTTCTAAGCAATTTCTTCTAGGTATCATACATAATTTACAGATTAATAGCATCTATCTGGTTCTAGACTTTTGTTCCAACGTTTTCTTCTACTCGACATACCTAGATAGACAATTTGCAAAGATCATTCGTCTCGCAAGCTCAGGATATACCTAGGTACCCCATTCATATACAAAAGTAGTAATTTTGAATCTTTCTAATTGGCTTATCGACTACCTAAGTACTGTAGGTACACCACCCAACTTATCTAACAAGAAAAACGATTGAAAAAGAGACTTAAAAAAATTACATGCGAGTTCTGCTTTCTATGTTCTCATGCGCGCATCGTGAGTAATGTACTGGTTGTAAATGATAAACCAGCGACAAGGTTCCCTACCCCTCCCCGTACCTTCTCGTCCCATCCCAGCCAGCCTCCGTGTTGTTCCATGCCATCCTCTCCATTTCATCCATAAAACATTCAATAGGAAATCATCCGGGTGAATAAGATAAGGGCACCCATCACAATCTAAATCCAATCCCTGCAAACAAACGACCGAGCCTCGAGTAGGTCAATCTGTTTGTCAAAAAATCAAACTCCATCTAAATTTGTCTAGATCCGCCCACTGCAAATACTGTGCTTGATTTTGAAAAGGAAAAAAGACGAAGTTTGCGTTGCTCTCGAGTCTCAAGTAATGATAGATCTTTGAGCCAATTGATCCGATTTGCTGACTTGATAATTTTGTACGCGTGAGGTAGCAAACATGCAAGCGAGTACAAGGCATGGTAGAGGCAAACTGTGCAGGCGAACTGGATGACCGCATGGTGGTTAACACCAGATACGATATTTATCGAAGAGGAGTAAAAAAATCTAGAAAGATCCGCCGAAGAACAAAGGAGTGGCGTAGTGGGTTCGGGAGGTTGATGACAGTGTAGGATATGAAAGATGAGTGAATTTTTTGGAGGTACAGATTGGTGTGTGTAAAAACGATAAGTGTTGTATTTATGACCACACATCCTCCTATAATCATGTTAGTTTATGTTTGTACAAGAAAGACTTGAAATGTTGAACGCGGTGCGGCAGGTGATAAAATCGGGGAAAACCCTCTCAGAACTGGAGTTTTTCCGATCATAACAATCCACCACCTAGATAGTCGAATGAAGTGGCAGAAAACTTGGTGAAGCAGTAGACAATGCGGAAAGGAAAGTAAAAGCGTAACATACCTGGTACTGATTGGCGGATCGCATACTTTTTACAACATCCTCAGCCTTTGATTCCGGGATGCCACGTTGCTCTGATATGATTTTACCAAGAACAGTATTGACTTCTCTAGCCATGTTTGCGGCATCACCACAAACATAGAAGTAGGCCTTTTGCATGAGAAGATCGTTGATTTCTTTGGCATGTTCCTTGAGACGGTGCTGGACATAGACCTTTTCCTTACCCTCACGAGAGAATGCAGTGATGAGCGAGAATTTGTCACCAAGGGCTTCTTCGTATTCCTGGTGAAATGTTAGCTAAATTGCTCCTCTATTTCATTCCTGAGAGGAAGAGGATTTACTCACCTTCCATTCATCTTTGTACATGAAATCTTCTGTAGACTTTCTACATCCAAAGAATAAGATTGTTCGTCCAACGTTCTCGCCAGCCTTTGCCTGTGCAGCTCTTTCCTGGACAAATGCCCTGAAAGGTGCAACACCAGTTCCGGGACCAATCATGATGACAGGCTTAGATGGATCGGATGGGAGCTTGAAGTTAGAGTGTCTTACGTGTACCGGGACGTGAATGCCATCATACTTGTTGCGTGGTCCTGTGATTTCGTATGTGAGTCCATGAGGATCGGGGTGGTCGTCGCCATGTTGCTTCTGTTTCAATGCAAGGAGATAATTTGTGGTAACACCCTTCAAAGCGTCGGTTCTTCCAGGAATATCGATTGACTCGACAACAGCCGTAATGGAGATCTTTTTCTTTTGTACAAGCGAGGAAGACGAAATAGAGTAGTAACGAGGTTGAATCTTGCCCAAACCTTCAATGAAAGCAGAAAATGGGATAGCGCTCCACGTTTCTTGACCACCAACTTCCTGCAAAACCTGGGCGATGTTCAAATAGTTGCTACTGATCTTTTGGTGAAAGTAGTCTTTATCACCACCAAGCTTTTCCATTTCGGCCTTGATGGCGTCATTGGGGGCAAAGGCGGCTAAAGTGGCAAGGAATTGACGTGATACAGGTGCGCATATCTCCATGTGATATCTAACTATAGCATCGTATGTAGTTGGCGTAGGGAAGGGAACCTTTGCAGTTGCATCCAATGCTTTGACGGCAATGACAGAATCCTTCTTGGAAGAAAGCCCGGTAACATTGAGGAATCGGTCCACTTCTCTTCCGGCATTTGTTGGCCAAATTGCAATGTGATCTCCGGTTTGATAGCTGAGGTTAGATCCACTGATATCGACTTCCAAGTGCAAACAGTTTCGGTCTTTGACGGAGAAAAGCTCCTTGGATTCAGAGATAGGAGCGATGTAAGGGTTGTGAGCGTTGTAAGGACCCTTCGATGTGCCCTCTAAATGCATCTTGTTTGGCTCGCCGAGATAAACTTCTGAGGAATCCTTTGTCAAGTCTTCTCTGTCTGTAATACCAAAAACCGGTTCATAAACAGCTTCACGTTCCTGGAGTCCCATCTTTTCGGCCAATGCAGTCCACATTGGGTCCTTCCAGGCCAAAAAGTCTTCTTCCATAGTACCAGCACCATCATCTCCCTCACCGGCTTCACCAATTCTTGTAGCGCCGAGCTTCTCGAAAGCCTTTGTGACGTTTCTGACCATGGAGTTGTAGTGTTCGTAGGTGTTGTTTCCGAGACCAAATGCAACAAATGTGAGGTTTTTGAGCGATTTCTCGCCACTAGAAAACTCAACATCCTCATTCATGAAGTATTCATAGAAATCGACAGCGTTATCGGTTGGTTCACCTTCACCATACGTAGCCAGTACGAAAATTGCGACTTTATCTTCCCCAAAGGTATCGAGATTGTCGTAATCGTAGTCTTCCAAGTCTGCTACCATGGTCTCCAAGCCGAAACGACTCTTGCCTTCCTTTGCCAATCTAGAAGCATAATCTTCTGCGGTACCAGTCTGCGAACCATAGAAGACGACACAGTTCTTGTTGGACTCGTCCATCTTCTCCACGATATTTCTTGTCTTTGTGGGTTTGTTTCCATTGGTGGCGGCATAGCTGGTAGCATAGGGATCCTTCACGATACCCCAGTATTTTCCTTTTGTAAAGTATGCTATCGTTCCCAAAGCTAGAACCCCAAGGACGACAATGTCCAGGACGTCAAGTTGTCCACCCATCTTGAACTTTGAAGATCTGCCGACAGTTCAGAGGAAATTGAATGAGAGGATAACCGCAGAAACGGCAGAGAGGATACGAGTGAACTTATGCTCCAACAAGAGCCGAGAAGAAATGACACCTGGCTAGTCGGTGAGTTAAGTCGCCGCTATGCTGACTGTGTTTGAGAAAAAAACGAGATAAGGTTTGATGTCGACAGATATAAATTACTATGTACACATGTACAAAATGTATGTTGTAACTACGGTAAACTTTTTGGATCCTTGAGGACGATCAATCACAAGCCTAGCCGAGTCGAGTTTGTATGAGAAGTGTTCTCTTGTTCTCTTACTTTTCACCAGGGCACGGTCAACCCGTTGATCGCGGAAAGGCAATGGAGGCAAAGGCAACGTGGTTGAATGGTTTCGGAAGGTGTCGGAAACCGAAAAGGCGCCGAAAGTATGACAAGATGAAGAAAAAACCTTGAAAGTAATTTGAATGTTGATCGAAGTGAATTTGAAAGTGGTGGTGACCTCGGGAATGGAAGACTCACCTGCGGGCAACCTTAGGAATCGGGAGCTGGAGGAAGGTTCCTGGAAACGATGGGTGCAGGTGTGGTGTGGCTGGATGGTGTGGCTGGATGGTGTGGCTGGTGATTAGTGGCGCAAAGTGGTTGTAGACCGGAGAAGACAGTGGATGAAGCCGACCTCGGGATGTGTAGATATAAAACTTTTCAGTCAAGTACCTCCAGCTAGGTAGGCAACTAGATTGACACTTGCATCTCAACAAAGTACCATTTGAACCGTGGCTCGTGGTTTGCTTCTACAATATACATGGATGGCTAACTTCTATGGGTCTTGCTGTGTGCTCCGTGTGTACGAAGTACATTGGATGCTGGCTCGGCTGGCTGGCTGTCAATCATACACAACTCCGGCTTCCTGGGCCCCCGATAGTCCGTCCATGGATCATAGTTATCATCTCGTACGATAGAGAGAGATAAATGTCAACCCCTAGCAAATCGAAAGCTAGCATTCATGGCATCATCACAGTTACAATGTTGAATGTTTTTTTTGTTCTACGAGAATGAGCGGCTGCTTTCCGCGTCTCTGCGCAACACCCGTCCTCCTAAACATGAAACTAGCTACCTAGGCATCTGAACGTTCCATCATGTAAAACTACTCTCACCACAGATATTTCCATAAGGAGTACGGAATTAAATACCGGCACTGAGCTAATTGCCATCGAGTTGCACAGGAAAACGTGTACCGGCCGCTGGAAGATCCGATATTCCGCGTTGGGGGGGAGGGGGGAGGTAACGTAACTTGGTGGAACCAACAGAATTTTATGATTTTGACTTTCGGCCTTAGGAGTCCTCGGAGTTGGGATTGATTGTCCGTGTCTATTTATATATGTAGGCACTGCCAGGTAGGTAGATCTAGAACGATAATATCATGCGAGTACGAAGTAACTTTTTAAAATTGTGGTAAAACATCGGATCCGGTATATCATGAAGCTTCAATAAGGTTTTGATATTGACTCCGAGGAAAATGGAGAATGGAGTGGTGGTGCAGCATCCTTGGAGAGGAAAATCATGTCATCTTACCAAGGCGCTGCTGACATGAGCCAGTTTGCTTTGGTGGTGATTGTTACAACATCCTTCTGTATATGTCTATCAGATACCTACCTACCTTATCATTATTGTGATCGCACAACACGATGGAAAGAAATCGGTTCACTTCTTCCTCGACTGCTCAATACCTACCTAGGTACCTAGTAGATAGATACCTATCTTAAACATTCAATATCGCCTGGAGCTTGTGCAACATGGAGTTAAGAGATATCTCAGCCGTTTAGTCAATCCTCGCAACAAAAGGGGCATAGGGAAGTAGGTATTAATAGGTGAGCCCTCCAAGGTTCGAGATGTCTTGAACTGAGAATTCACCGGAAATTCAGCAATCGATTCTGCACGTATATCTACCCAGGTATTCGGAGATATCAATAAATAGCTGTCGAGAACTTAGAACACAGCTAGAGCCTTTATCGATTACAGACTGGGGATCTCTCGTCCCGGCTCTCTAGGCGAATCGTGGGAGGGCACGTGAAAGGGAAGGCAAAGGACGAGAAGGATCCGTGCCAGCCAGCTCATCGCTACTCCGTACCACTACGACATGAATAATTGCAGTCTATCTAATGACTAGGTAGGTAGTAGTTGTTCTAGGCACTATTGATTCTGATTTTGAAGATTCCTAGGTAGTCAGTCTTCCAAGGTTAGGTTATTCTCACAACCGAGTCATGAATCATTGATATGCAGAGAAGAACTGAGTAGCAAGTGTTGAGTTGAATATATATAACCTTAGGTACTTGTTTAACAATCTGCATAGTCCGTATTCTAGTCTCGTATTGCTGTTGTTGAGCTCACGTGAAAGTGCAAGGTAATGGTTCTGTGCGTACCTATTCGTACATATATTGATTGTTCTCTCTGCGATTTATTACATCGTATAAGATGTTCCATGGGCTGGAGCTGGGGCTGGGGCTGGCTCAGCGGCATCAGGGGTCTGTTCCAGGGGTTGGACAATCATTGGCTGCTAACACATAACCTACTATGAACATTCGCGATATTCTCCAAATCGTAGATTTAGAACATCAGAACGTTGAAAGAAAGTACCAATTGAAGCTGCGACGATATAAGCAACTACATTTCCACAGCTGGGTGGTCTAACAATGAGAGGAACAAGGAAGTAGAGAATGTAGGGAGAATTATATGGGCAACATCCCGTGACAGAATGAGTGAGTACCATGCCCGTTAGGGTGCTTTAGCTCAAACTTCCCGACCCTCAGAACTTGACGCAAAGCATCGCATTACATTTTTAGGGGACCAGCCCTTATTTACATATGAGACACATCCTTGCTGATACTTCTCTCAAGCATCATTTCCAGATCCTCGTGCTGAAGGTATAACAGAAAACTTCTCGCCCATCGACATTGATGTGACTACGTACCCTGCAACCTTGAAACGCTCGCATACCACCAACTCGAAATCCGGTGTTCACTCTCGAGAGCCAAGTGCGAATCAGTCCTTTTTCGCAGGACTCAAGGCCGCTTTCTCCGAATCGCCTTCCCAGCCTGCCAATCTATCACCGCGACTCTACACAGGTAGTACGAGAGGGGGATCGATAGATGCAGATGCGAAGAGCCATCACCGAAATACTAGCATCGTTCATGGCATACAGCGGTCCAGGAATGGGAGCTTTGGGAGTTCATCTACAAGCCCGCTGAGCCCGCAGATGATTGCTGCTGCAGGTGGAGATTGGACAGATGCATCGGTCATGGGCGATCCGAATTTCTCCTCCAGCGCATCCAGCATGACCAGCGGCACTTCTTTTAGCTCGAATACAACATTTGTCCCCTCCCGGAGCCCTTCAGCGGCCGAAAATGCGCCATCAGGCAGCGCGCAGAGAAATATGGAGCGTGGTAATAGTAATAGTGGGAGGAGTCGAAGAAATCATGCGCATCATCATTCCCATTCAAGACATCATAAGGACGAGTTGAAAACTGTTGGCGAGTATGCTCTGCATGTCTTGTTCACTTCAGTCAGTTCTCCTTGACCATTTTGTTGGCATAATTTCTAATGTCATGCTCCAGTTTATTGCGCAAGCAGAGGAAAAGATCTCACAGTGTGTTACTTTACCACTGGACCCAGAACCTCAAATTGAACATATATGCGGAATGGGAGTAGACCCGGCATTTGATCAACTGATCTCTGCTTTGGGTCATATCGCAAGCCAAAAACCTAAGCCTCTTATTGATTCAATGATGCTATGGCGAAAGAACAAGAGTGACGCTGCCAACGAGGCTAGGATTCAGCTTCAACAGGTATGCTTGAAATTCCCAAGTGTTTATGTCCGTTGCTCATGAAACCCTATAGTCTCGCGGCAATTTACTCCCAGGTCAACTCCCGCGGAGGAACACTGAGCCGCCTCATATGCACCAAGACGATCTCATGGCTGGTCTGCCAACTATCGCTGCGCGGCAAGAGTTTGTCGCCCAAGCAGAACGACGATCAACTGCTTCAATATTTATACTGTGCCGAGTCTTAATGGAAGTCATTGGCCAAAGTACCTTGGCTCGTATAACTCCTGAGATGGAAGAAAAGCTAGAAGGAATTATCTTCGGACAACTGAAGATCGCCGATGCAGATCAACTGAGTACCTCGCCTCTCAAGATGGCCAACTGGTTTTTGTTCAGTCAATTGCTTGGCGTTATGGCTGAGATCAATTTTGATAGTGTCACTGATCGCTTCATAGCAGACCTCGAGAAGTCGCAGAAGGATCTAGTGATCAAAAGTCCAGTAAACAGGGATATCGAAGGGCGAATGGTCTTAGTTCTCGGTGGTATGAAGCACATTCGTCTCAAGACATATCCTGAGGAAGCGTGGGATCAATCTTGCGATTTCATGATTAATCTTGGTAAATTCTTTCTGAAATCTCATGGGCAACAACTAAAATATGCCTATTGTATGGCGCTTGAAATACTTCTTTTGCCAATTGCTGCCACAGCAAACACGGAGCTCAATATGCCGAAGTGGACGGAAGTGTTAGCAACCATAGGTCCGAGACTGGCTTCGATGTTTATTAAACCTCGTCACTGGGCTGTTGCATTTCCACTGACAGCGACGTTGCTCTGTGTTTCGCCCACAGATACCTTCTCAACACAATGGCTACAGCTAGTATTACCCCTGCAGGCAAAAATGAAGGAACCAAGAACTAGACCAATTTGTCTACAGGTGATCTCGAGGCTTGTCTGGACCTATTTGCATCGCACAAATGAACCTACAAATGCCACAATCAAAAAGCTAGAAGATGTCATGAGACTTGTATTACCTCCTGGAAAGAAGTCCTACATCTCAACGGATTCATCAATCATCGAACCGCTAATCCAGATTATACGCATCATTGGCTTTAAGTATCAAGATTTCTGCTTCCGAACGATAGTCTTCCCCTTAATCAATGCAGATTTGTTCGCTTCTGGGCGGGAACTCAAAGTCGAACAGCTAGAACCAGAAAAAATGGTTGTAGGGATTCGAGCTTTTCTTGCCATCATGTCAGATCTAGAGAAGGGCGAACAAGGCTGTCCGCCATTTCCACAGCACTACTCACCGTTGCCGGTGTTCGAAAGGATGCCGACTTCACCCATTATGACAGCACCTCGCAGCCCCATTACCCCATCTCTAGTAGTTCCCAACCGCGAAGAAAGACTTTCTCGACCCGTGATTACTAACACTCTCGGTGACGTTGCCAAAGAATATTACGCAAAGTTTTGTGAAATTTTAGGAAAAATTACTATCATTTGCGACAATACTTTTGGGGGTCAAGCCGTATTGGATGAAAAGTTCAATGGACCCATACCCAAAACTCCACTGGCTGAGAGCTTCAACTTTCGCCGAGACGACCACCTAACTCCGTCAGAGCAAAAACAAGGATTCTACGAGCTATTGCATGTTGCAGTGCAAGCACTCCCTAGGTGTTTATCGGCCGATATACCATTTAACATTCTCGTGAATCTTCTTTGCACCGGCACCGCTCACGTGCAGTATAATATTGCAGAGTCATCGGCACAGTCTTTGAAATCAATCGCTAGACAGTCTCACGCTCAGCCAGTGACTATTGGGTTTGCTCGTTTTATCTTCACTTTTGATGACAGATATTCTACCATGTCTGATGGTGGGATGCTTGGCCCTGGTCACATCGAGAATACTTTGAAGCTCTACGTGGAGCTACTTCAGATCTGGATTGAAGAGATCAAAAACAAAATGAAAGACGCTGCATCAGATATCTCAGAAGATGGTTCAGCCGATAAGAGGGGCGTTCAACTAGATCTATCTGGGATCTGGGCACATGTTGACGAGGTTGAGTCGCATGGCTTGTTCTTCTTATGTTCACAGTCAAGGCGAGTACGTGCCTTTGCAGTCACAGTCTTGCGCCTGATCACAGAATTTGACACTGCTTTGGGTAAGGATAATGGCCGACTGATACATATTCTTGAAGGGGATGCCAAAGGAGTAATGGATTTCAATGACGAGACCTTGTCTGTTGCAGAGCGAAGTAGATTACAACGTGGCTTACAGAAGACAGACCTGACAGAAAGGAATGAGAGTGATTTGATTGAGCTTTGCAGCAGCGATGTGTCTTACGACACAACTCTATGGTTCAAAATCTTTCCAAATTTGATACGAATCAGTTACGATCGTTGTCCGTTCGCTGTGACGCTGGGACGCGAACTAATTTGCAATCGAATCCTTCAGATGTACCGAGGTATCGTTGTATTATCAGAAGCAAATCGTGGCCCGCAATATGGCTACGACACTGGAAGCGGCCGTTTATTGTCAAGATCATCAACCACTCCACCAGAAGTACTGATTGAACAGTGGAAACTTTATCTCATCGTGGCATGCACCACGCTCTCTGACAAGGGTGGCCAGCAGCAATCATCGCCGCCAATAACGCAACACTATCGAAAGGGGTCGAAGCCAAATCAAACATTAGAGAAAATCACTTCCGCAAGGATTCTCTTCAAGTACCTTATTCCATTACTCTCAGTGGGTCCGGCTTCAATTCGAGATGCAGTGGTCGTGGCACTTGGAGCGATCAACATTAATATCTACAAAACACTACTAGAAGAACTACAAGGAGTAGTAAGCCGATGTAACGATGATGCACGCGCTCGTATTCATCAACGGAGTTCTAGTAGCCCTAGACGAAACAGAAGAACTGATTTGCTAAGAACTGAAGTCACTCATGTATACAAATTAACAGCTTCGTTCCTGAAAGAGAAGGAGATCTACGAAGACGATTGGATCCTAAACAACCTTGTCATCTACACAAAGGACCTCAAAATTTTCCTCATGGACGGAGAGGTTCAGCTGGATTGGGAGTTCCAAAAGCTCCGTCGTCACTACTGTGGATTGATGGAAGAGCTCTTTGAGGGTATCAATCTTACCAAAGACCCTTCTCGGTGGATGACATTCGAGTCCAGGAAGTCTTCCTTTGCTCTTATGGAGGACTGGTGCGGCTATTCCCCGAATCAGAATCAGATACGACAGCGAGAAGACAATATGAGACAATCCATGATTAACCAACAATCACTTGGTGAACGGGGAGTTGTAACGGCTGCCATGGAAATCGAGAAAAGGAACCTTCGAACTGCAGCTCTTAGCGCAATGGCTGCATTATGTGGAGGTCGTGTCAGCATAACAACAGAAAGTGGAGCCAATCTGCAATTCGACATTCGACGTATGCTCTCCTGGGTGGATACTATATTCAACACTGGCAGTGATCGGATGCATGTTATCGGGCGACGAGCTTTGAAAAACTTGATAGTACACAACAAGGAATTTCCCTACCTTCTAGAGCATTCTATCACGAGGTGCTATCTTGCGGAAGCAGCCAAAGTACTCCAGAGCTATTTTGGAGTCGTGACCGAGGTGCTCATTGAGTATCCGGATTATCCAATGCCCTTCTGGAGATTGCTGGGTATTGGACTGTATACACTTGGAAGCGAATTGGGCGATATCCGCATCAAGTCTGCCCGTATACTTCGTGCTTTAGAGGAGAGACAGCAACGAAGTTCTAAAATACAAGACTTTGACATCAGCATTTCAGATAAAACAAAAGCAGTTTACAAGCTCGCCCAATTCGAAATATCGAAACGATTGTCAACCAACCATTCCGAATTGGCATTTTTGATTTTCTCTGAGTTCACTATGTATTTCAAAGAGCTGCAGGCTGGGCCACAAAGAAATATGGTTGCCGCTATTCTGCCGTGGATTCAAATCATAGAACTACAACTGGATCCGAATGGCGGCCCAACTGCGCAATCGTATGTTCTGTTGGCAAATCTGTTTGAGATAACGATTAGATGCAGTAGCACTCTTCACAATGAAGTACAGGCTTTGTGGCAAGCGCTTGCCACAGGCCCTCACGCTGGGAATGTTCAATTAGTACTAGATTTTATCATGTCATTGTGCCTCGACAGGCGAGAACAAAATTTTGTGGAGTATGCAAAGCAAATTGTGGTGTTCTTGTCCAGTACTCCTGCTGGCGGTAAAGTTGTGGAATTTTTGTTGATGCAGATCACGCCGAAAGCGATGGTTCCCAATGAGAAACGCGAGTTTTTGCCACCTCCACCTGATGTTGGAAAGCTGCCGTATATGGCAGAACTCTCGGAGGCGTTGCCGATTGGAAATAAACAAACAGGACTCTCGTTGGGTCAACTATCTCTCATACTACTCGTCGATTTGATGGTATCACCTGTTCAGCTTGTAGCAGACAATGTTCCTCTTCTTTTGCAAGTAGTGACTGTCCTCTGGGATCATTACATACCGCTGGTACAAGAACAAGCTCGAGAAATGTTGATTCATTTGATACATGAGCTGGTAATTTCTCAGATTGATGACGAGAGTACTAACCCAAGTAAGAATTCAATCGAGGATTTTATTGAGTCAATTCGCCGTCATGATCACAAAGTTATCTGGCATTACGACGATAACAGCGGCAAGGTATACGACCAAGAGAACAAAGTTCCTCCAGGTATGGAGCTCCTCACCGGTGAGGTAGTGAGGGATTTTGAAGTGAAATATCCTGGAATTCAAGAGCAGTGGGCCAAGTTATCGTTGACTTGGGCAACATCTTGTCCTGTCCGACATCTTGCATGTCGATCATTCCAGGTTTTTCGATGCACTCTCACTTCACTCGACCAGTCTATGCTTGCTGATATGTTGATAAGACTTTCAAATACCATTGCCGACTTGGAAAATTCTACTCAGTTATTTTCTATTGAGATACTCACAACATTACGAACGCTCATTCGTAAACTCGAGCCTGCTGACTTACTCACTTTCCCTCAACTCTTTTGGACAACATGTGCTTGTCTGGATACGATAAATGAACAAGAATTTTTAGAAGCTGGGCATATGCTCGAAGAACTTCTTGCAAAACTTGACTTGGATGACCCCTCTGTTAGAGATTTACTTGCTGAGGGAAGACCTACGAACTGGGAAGGTTCCTTCGGAGGAGTTCAAGCTTTGGTTTACAAGGGTATTCGCTCATCAGCCTGTCTTGATATGACACTCGCAACTCTCAATAAGCTCGTTACATTGCCGAGCGACGAGCTTATCGGAGACGATAGTCGATTGTTATTTGCGGTGTTGGCTAACTTCCCTGGCTTTCTAAATGCTATGGACCAACCAAATATTGATCAGAAAAGCATACAAACTGCCGAGATCCTCGCAGGTGTTGCAGAAGCGCAAGGCTGTAGCACTATCTCACGGGCTCTTATTGGGTTCGCTGGATCGCGTTACCGTTCTAGCAAAGATTTCCTGGCGCAACTAGTTTCTGCTCTTCGCGAGTCGTTCTTCCCGAAATGGGAATTCCGCAGTTTGACATTCGTCATGGGCTCTCTAACAAATAGCATACCATGGTATAAGTTGAAGACGATGCGCATTTTATGTGCTATCATTCCTGACATCGACATGAAAAAGCCGGAGATCGCTTCTCATGGGCCTGATCTTATCTCGCCTCTGCTAAGACTGCTTCAAACAGAGTTTTGTATGGAAGCTCTAGAAGTACTAGACAAGATCATGACCATGACTGGAACTCCGATGGACAAGCACCACCTGCGTATGAGCATGACGAGATCTTCCTCAAGGGCAATGAGGAAAGAATATGATAACACTCAGAGCCTCTTTGGCATCCCAGAGGATTCCGGCTGGTCAATTCCGATGCCTGCGAAACAAGCTAGTATCACAAGATCTAATGTTCATGCTGTTTTTTACATGTGCCAGAGTACCAAGAATACGGATCATGAAGTTGCTGCGACCCCAGATGTAGAATTTCATGTGGATGACTTCCAATACGGTTATTTCCCGCAACCTGAGAGAACTGAGACTATGATGTCGGATGAGGCTCGAGGTGATGGCAATATTGGTGACCTTATGATGAAGCTTGACAGCTTGGACGACTTCTTCGAAGATAGCCTGCAGAGTCCCACGAGCGATGGCAGGTCATCGAGAACCATAACAGAAGTTGGTTTTTCGGGCGAAAATTTTGATTCCGCTGCGGCTCAGTTGTATGACGAACAAACTCTACCTATTCTTCATCAGTCCCTCACTCATTCAGCGACCAATTCTACGTTTCAGAATGGCTTTGCTGATTTACGTCCATCACGGGAATCAAATAACGCCATGACTCCGGCTGCTTTCAATCTCGTCCCCACCTCTAGACCGAGTCTACACGCGCGTGCTTTGACATCACCTTCAACATCATCGGGTCATCCCAATATAACTTACATGTCAGACGACGACTTCAGTGAAGATGTTTTCTCGGATGGTGAAGAGGACCGTGCAACAACTTCAGGAGAAGGGTCATTTTTCCTTGAGAATATGATCAAGCCCCTTGCAGCCGGTACCCGATTAGGCATGCGACGACTCACTGGGGGTAGATCACGAGATAATGAACGTTTTCGAGATAGCCTACGAGCAGAAAGGAGAGGGATTTCACAACCTCCTCGGTCGCCACGAGTACCCAAAGTCCCTACCGCGTATCTTCAGCCGCAGAAACCCTTGAGTCCAGATGAGGGTATTTAAAACAAAACAAAAAGTGTTGTATTGGTCTGTATGGTGTTGAGAATTATAATTCTTTTATGACGAAATTTATGGAGGATGCAATTTTTGACGAGACAATTTAATGAAACGAGTTCGAATTTTCTTCTGGAGTTTAATGAAATGAGAGCAAGCGGTAAACAAGGACTGTGTCTTGTCAATTTGTCATCTTGAATTTCTGAAGTCTCATCTTAGTTGCGTGGGAATGAAAATGGTATGGAAGGAAATTTCGAATCGATTTGGATGATGGCTGATTAGATCTATGGATGAATTGTGTGCTTGTTGTGGAGTTCGTCGGGAAACAACTTGTGATCACAATCTAGCATGGATGATAGGATTTCTGTATTGTTTGTATGTACGATAGTGTGAGCTCAGCTGCCTTGGGGTCGGCTATTTGTATTTGATTGGTAGGCGAAGGTGATGAGAATACTACGATCATTTAATTCTCGTGAATGTGGCGGCGACTAGGTTTTATAGTGAGCTTGCTTGTGTCTGTCTTGTGTCTAGTTTTTATATTGTGTGTGTGAAGGGGGTGGTCGGAAGTTTAGTGGTATCATGACTCCCGATCAATTTGTCTCAAAAAGCACGTCTCTATGCCCCGTGTTTCAGTAGAATATACGATCGATCATGCATTGGGACTTTTATGTACAGTGGAAAAGTTCAGAGACTCGAGGATTCATTTCCATTGGTAGTCATGTAGCTGGAGCTGGAGCAGATTCGTTGTGTGCACCGTTCAGGCTCACTTTGATCAATAACACATTCACAAGTTGAGAAAACAATAGTAGCCGCTGAATTTGACAAAGCATATGTAGGAATGTAGGACGCAAAATCTGGAGAGATATGGATACAAATGATCTTTATGATTTTGGACCCGAGTGATATTACATTTGTGAAATCATATTTTCTGTTGCTACATCATTCATTCCCCCGTTGATTCCCCCAGTGATTCCAATCACAGTGTTGCATAAGTGCGAGAGAGCAAATGAAAGTTTATATACAAGTATATATTATTTCCCGCTCCAGCCCAACCCAACCCGATCCAATTCATGAATGCATACAAGCCTCGCTATCCACCCAACTAATCTGCGATGAGTACAGAATGCGATATACTACCTATATATCCATGGATATCAAAGAAAGCCCTCGTATGGATTCCATTTCCTCTACCTCCCTCTACACCCCATGTTCCCCCCCAAAAATAACATTTTTCTACAACCACCCCCCCTCCACAACATTCGGATCAACCACCGGCGTCGGTTTTCTCGCGATCCCCATGCCTCGCGGCGGTCCACCATGTCCCACATTCACACCCGCATGCGGATTATAGGCAATGCGCACTTCCTCGTCCCGGGAATCAGTGATCGGGTATCTCTGCATAGACGCCTCAGGATGACTTGCTATAGGTGTTGGTACAGGAGACCTTCGATCTGGCATCCTCGGTGCAGAATGCGGGGACGGACTATTTCTCGTGCGGAGACCGGAGGGTACCCATCCGGATTGACGGATGTTGTTGCTTAGTGCTGCTTCTTCTTCTGTTTCTGAGGTTTGATTTGAGGTTTGATTCTGGTTGTTATTTTGATGTTCGGCGCCTTCTTTTTCGGCGCGACCTTTGCGCGAGAAATTGCGACGGGTGCCGGGGGGTTTGGGGTCGGATATTTGCCGTGTGAGGAAGGAGTCTGCGGGGGGTGACATGGATTCGGCGCCTATGGCGCTTGTTATGTCGGCGTAGAGGGCGGGCATGGCGGGCATGGGTTCGTGCTGGTGGTCGGCGGAAGTGGAGGGGCCGTCGGCGGGGGCGTAGGTGCGTCGATCTCCTGTGAGAGCGAGGTGCCAGTTTGCTTGGGAGGCTTTGGGGGCGATGGGGGTTTGGATATCTTCCATGATATCGAGGGGTGGGAGGTCGGTAGTTGGTGGGAGAGTGTAAGCGTTTGTGCTTGGAGCTGGGGCTGGGGCCGGAGACGTGCTTACAGGTGGTGGGGAGCGAGAAGGGCGGGGACGGAGAGCTTGTGGCTCAGGGGAAGAGGAGTGATAATATATTTGAGGTTCGGGAGATTGAGATGGATGGTAAGGTTCTGAAGAGGGTGGGCCACGTGTTCGAGTCGGGTCATAGGACTGTGGAAGTATTTCGGAGTGCGGTGGTTGGAATGGATCTCGATCTGGTATAGGAGATGGAGAGCGAAAGTTGCGGGCGTAAAGATCAGGAGTTGGTGCTTCAACGGGTGCGTCATGTCCGGCAGGTGTAGTAGGCCGATGATAAGGAGATTGAAAAACAGGTGCATAGCCTAGGTTGTTGGTGCTGCTCATTTGAGAGGAATAGTTGTGAGGTGGCGGGGAATGATTTCCGAATGGAACTGGAGAGCGAATCGGTTGTGGAGATGGCGTTGGGTTGGGAACTGCGTCAAAGGTTGATTTTGATGGTCGCGGACTGGAAAGAGTTAGTTACTTTCAGAAGAGCACAAGATTTGCTAGAGACTCACGGAGACGTGACACCCTGAGGAATGCTTGATTCTCGTTTGTTTCCTCTTTTACGAATAAGGAAGAATGCTGCTATAGATGCTCCTATGATTACAATCAGAGCACCTATCGTTCCACCGACTATCGCCCCAGTATTTGAGCTTCCCTTCGATGCTGCAGCTGCTGAACCTGTTGATTCTGGGATTGAAGGAGTCAATGACCCTTTCCCAGCAGTAGCCGAAGCTGTTGACTGTGTTGGAGTTGCAGTCGTTGAAGATGGAAACGAGGTGGCTGCTCCAAAATTACTAGGATTTTGAATTGTGATTGTTGGGTTGAAAGTCACTCCAGTATACACAATCTGCAGGTTATCATCTATCGCTTGACCAGCAAAAGTGGTTACTGCTGTGACGTTTGCAGTGGAGGGGCCACATCCAAATTGCGAGTAGTTTTCCGGGTAATTAACCTTGTAACAGTTTGAATTCGAAGGGCTGAGAACGTGTTAGGAAATTTATTTCATATATCGTACATTTTCACTAACCATGTTAAGATGCCATTGTTAACCATGAAGGAATTCGAAGCATATCCAGCACTATTATGGTCGACACAAGAGGTATATAATCCATCCGTACATGGAATCGGGTCCGATCCAGCTGACGAGGTTGGACAGCATCCAATCACTCCATACGAAGTATCGTGAATACATGAAGATCCACTTGCGCAAACCCACTGACTGAGCTTTGTTTCCTCCAATCCAACCACATATATCGACATCGAATGAGCCTCTCTTAAACAGGTCACGAGGCTCTAGGATCGTATTAGTCGGTCGTGGGGACCGTTCATCTCCCTTATACGTAGCTGTCTGTTTAGCTACGGCCCATGGTATAGCATTTGTAACTCCAAACAATGTAGAGAATAAAATTATTATCAATGGAGACATGACAAGGAAAGAGATTAAAGACTCCACGACGTAACGACCGAGAGAGCTTGATAAAATGAACGACAAAGAAAAGAAATAACAAGAAAGGTCGAAAAGGTTTCAAAAGTACATGACAGAGAGCATGGAAGATCTTAAATGAAAATAAGTAAGCTTTAATGAGTACTTCGATCCATTGATTACGCCGCAACTCAGAAGAGAAGAATAAAAAAATCCGGGGGCCAGAATCCCACGACAATATCTATTTCTACATCATCAAACACTTATTTCTCTGAACACGTACAAACCCAATTGGATCGCGAGCGAAGGATGCAACCACAGGACAAAATTAATCATTTGTAGAGAGTCGTGTATGATTTCTCAAAGAGGCTGTGGGATTTGTGAGATGTAACCAAAGACCCTCAATTGGAAATTTAGCTTCGCCACTGTTTATTATTGGTATAGCAGCAGCTGGAACATAGAATTTTGGATAACGTGTTGAATGGAATCAAAACCTGATATACCAATTGCCAAATCAAGATTCTTGAAACTTTTCAAAGAAGACGTTGTATCAATTATCAAACTTAATGATTGATTGTTGGAGATTTATATTGTAATTCGTTGATGCAGTTGCTATGATCCATTGGTACCTGCATTTGCGATGAAGGAGGATCGGCTATATAGTGATTCCCGAGCTTACTGTACCATCAATCATCAAACCCCCCTGCCTGCTGCAAAGAACACATTCCAATTCCTTGTACGAGCTTATGTACTGCTGAGTATTGATGTCTATTTTTACCATGTACTTCAAGAAAGAAAAAGCCGTTTGTTCTAGAAATATGAAGGGTGACTAAGAACCGATTCAAGAACCAATGTGCTTCTAGAGTCATCAGAGAGTCATACTGTTTTAAGATATCCCAAACCTGGACATTTGCTCTTCGAATTTCAACACAACTACAGATATATGCTGTTTCGTGGCGTACCATGGAAGCCAATATTGAATGAGACCGAGAGTGTGCTCTGGCTGTGGCTGTTGCAGTTTCAGCACACCAAAGTGGTACATTGGTATGTTTGAATTGTAATGAGGGGTGCATATGGAAAAGTATCGAAATCGAGTCCCCACCTTGAGCAGTATTTATCGTCCCAAGTTCCTCGAATCCTAAGTTCTAAAAGCTTAGTAATTTGGCATCCGTGGATTATTGACTTCGAAACTCTGTAGTAGCATCAATCTGGAGATTTCTTTCGAGGCTCGGTATTACTCATCCTAGTGTATACGAGTTAAGTAAAAACTCTCCCCCGAAAGTCTGATATCTTACCGAGAACTGCACTGTAATAACATCATCACAATATCTTTCCATCCTAGCTGCTTTCAAGAACTGCAGGAGATTTAGACCTCTCTAAGTTCTTTCGTGTGATCAACTCTCTGTCGAACTCATGTTGGCTTCACGTTCTTGATGTGTAAGGTTGTCTGTTATATACCTCGCCGCGTTGAAAAGCCGTGTTTCGGCTTGGAAATTTGCTTGGACGGATTCCGAATGGAACTCATTTAACGATCTGTTTGTCGTTTATAATCTTAGACGACCGGGGGTGATCTGATACTCGCCCAAACTGACAAAATACAACAAGGAATCGCGAAAGGGTATCGAAGCAAAGTGTCAATTGCTATTACATGTTGCTACAAACCTACACGCACTTCGATCAGATCGATATCAACCTCTTGCGGAGTGCCCTATACCCACATGAATTGTTTTGGGGAGGCCGGTCTTTTCAAACGATGTAATCCCAGATGCGATGTAAAATCAAATAGCCACTTCCTGTTTATTGTACCCACCCATGGTCTAGCCTAGCCTCTAACCGTCGTTTTGAAGCGAAGATGGCATCGGATTGGATCAGTGATATGCAAGAGAACATGCACTCATTATATTCTTATTCTTTCCGCTCAAACCTCAGACCCCCAAAGTCGAGCTTTTGCTACGTGGAACTAAGCGTGATAAGTAAATTCATGAATGGTTCGGTATCCCGATTCATCATTTCGAAAGTGCAAAGAAAGGGTAAACAGTTGCAATGCAGGAGAAAAGACACGGAACCCGCAGTCGGAGGCGAGCCCACTATTGTTTACGTCTACGATTGACGAATAAAGGTTGGCTATCATGTTTGTAGGAACTACCACAAGATTCCTCATGGGTAGTATATTGAAGGACGAATGCTAGACTCATCAGATGAATTGCCCAAGAATGTGTATGCGCTGTAGTCCGCAGGAACAAACTAGATTGAGCAAAACATCGCTGACAGTGTTTGGCTAGATATCAACCATATGCCATTGCTGCAAAGAGCATTCCTGATTTACTCCGGTGTACCTGTATATCACATTGCTACTCAACCAAAATGACTTGAGCTTGTCACCGAGTGAGGTGAAGAAAGAATAGAAACGATCTTCTTGAATACTTGCATGTGAAGGATGGATATGAAT